AAGGGTTTGATTAGTATGTATCGAAGCGCTCTTGTTAGCCGTTTTGTAAACATTTTGGTCTTCTTTAACAAATTAGCGAATAATTTTTAAACTGCTTGATAGATTTTTTTAAAAATTTAATATTTTTGAGATTAACCTTCCTTTTATATAACCGTTTAGTTTCAAGATTATTGATATATTGTAGAGCAAGAATGTTAAATTTTTAAAAAAATCTATCGAGCGGTTTAAAAATTATTCACTAATTGCTTAAAGTAGACCAAAATGTTCAAAAAACCGCTAACAAGAGCGCTTTGATACACACTAATCAAATCCTTCTTTCTTGCAATCGGCTGGAGCTATCTCCCATGATCTATCATACACACTTTGAAAAAGATTGAAACTACTATGAGGTGAAATTGCATGTCAAAAGCGTTTTGTTTTCTACAGATAACAGCCAAACACCAAGATTGTCCATTTTTACCCTATTTCTAACTACAAAATCTTTATCCCAAAATATCTCGATAACACTCTTACAGATTTCGCTTAAACTTCACGAACATCGAGGCTGCTATCGGAGGGAAAAGCTCCTATGAATGATTTTCGAAGAACAGTTCCCAGTGCGGAGATATACTGCTGCAAGCAAAATAGGTAAAAGCGTCATTTCGTTGCTATGACAACTCCGATGCCGTTGCAACCCTGATCATAACAAATTTTCATCTTTATTTAATACAACTGTGGTGTCAATTTTTCGCAAAATTTGTTTTAAAGACGTAGTTTATGCTCAAACTTGGGAGGTATTGGCCCTGAAAAACTGTATCGAGCCACCTTAACTAATATAACGGAAAAAGTGTGTCTGACCTTACTGCACCCATGTTTGGGGTATTGCTGCTTACACTAAAAACTTGACTTAAACTGACAGGCTACAGAAAAAGAGCATTTAGATTTGGACATATTCGATTAACACCGATCCAACCGGTTGTTAAAGAGAGGGATGTAGGGCTGTGAAATAGTAATGTGGGCAATTCTAGTCAAAGACAGTTTTAACTCCTACTTTACTTACTGTTACCTTTCATGTTTTAACTTCTGTTTAAAACCTTCAATAAAGACTTATTATTTTTACTTGTTATATTATTACCATTATTATAATTATTATTATAAGTTGAAAGATTATAATAATTATAATGCCACAAGATTTGTCTTGTATGGTCCCCTTTAAGCTATCTCACTGAACATAGATAAAGGTAAGTACACTTCAGTCTTACTTGAGTGGCATTTCTCGTCCGGTAACACTGCAGTTCCTGTGACCAGACCTCGTGCATTGAGCAATGTTACAATACACAAGTATTTTCTTAGACGGATAAATTGTGTATAGCTTCTTTGTGAGGCCCCTGTGTGTGCGATTCTGTACGTTCCAGTGACATTGCAATTCTAGTAATTTAGACACTACTCAAGCCATGTATAAATTCAATGATAAAATGTCAAATGGCAACGGCTTACAAGGGCTCACTTGTTTAGCTGCCCCCGTTTTGGAACTTATTGGGTCTAAGAGCATGTTTACAATTTGGGCAATCACCTTGTAATCACAATCAAGAATGTCACGTACATCTACCTTTTGG